TGTGTTGGTGTGTGTTGGTGTGTGTTGGTGTGTGTGTGTGTTTGTGTGTGTGTTTTTTCAACACTCCTTTTCTGCAGAAAAGTCTTGTGTGTGTGTGTTTGTTGGCCTCCTTGCACGGAGGTCTTGGTGAAAAATCCACCCAACACACCAGAGCAGGCTTTGGACGCCCAAAAGCTCCGGTCTAAAGAATAGGAAAAACAACAGCTTGCATTATGAAGCAATGGCTTGGGTGAAACGCTGCTCTGCCAATTTCTGTCTATTGACAGCTGTGCCATGCAAGTGAATTCATGCGCTGAAAATCATGCTTTTTTTTTTTATCCTGGCCTTCGTGACACGTTGGGCCTTTGCCTCTTGGACCAGCTTCACCTTTTTTTTTTTACCCTGGCCTTCGTGATACGATGGGCATTTGCCTCTTGGACCAGCTTCTTTTTTTTTTTGAACATGAGATCGAATGAACTAAGGCCTGATGGGTGAAACGGCAGAGCAGCAATTAATTAACAAAACTGGACTACAATCTATGGCAAAATGCCTCTTGTCGGATCGCATCTGCATTGGTGGTTGGCATCAGGCTACACTGTTTGGGCACATTCAGGGTTTCGGCATGGATGCAAGGAGTCTCAGCAGTGACATACGGTCAGGGTCTGTCGCATCTTCTGAATCAGAGGTGGATGAGCCTTCGATTGGATCTGGCTGCAGCGGGTCAGTCATATGGAACAGATCCAGGTAGTCACTATGGCAAAACCAGAGGCACATCACATCGCGCTTGAACCATTCTGGCTCAGCTCTGAGTCTTCGGGGGGGCTGATCATCGTCAATCAGCAGAAAGCTGATTGGTGGCTGCTCCGTGGGCCATGTGGTCAGCAGGGCGCGGCAGTGTCCAGCTGAGTCCAAACCTGAGTGAGACACAGCAGCCAGGATTTGATATTCGGCAGTTTCGATATGGAGCTCATCATCTGCAAAGAATGGGACATCGATCGCACCCCAAAAATGAATAGGGCGCTCACTTTTCACAGCTGCTTCAGAACCTTGGTTGATGTATCGATCAACATGGATGCACAGCAGAGGAGTGCGGGCTTTCAGAGCAGTATGCATACCATACTGAGACGACCAGGAGTTCAACATCGTTTGTAATGATGTGTAATCCAAGGTAGAAGTCCCAATGTCCATCAAATCAAATTGCACTGTCAACGGCCTGTCAGCAGCACTTTGATCCATGACTCGCACAGTATCATTGATCTGGACTCGACGCTCCCACGTCATGTCAAAGCCCTCAAATCTCAGTCCCCGCAACACATGTGAAATGAACTCCACAGGGTCACCTTGCTCATGCTGATGTGGCCACGTTTGCATCACATTTCTAAACCAAGGTTGTTCAACAATGGTGAAAGGTTGTTCGGCATGGCCTAGCACACTCTCAGCAATCAGGGTGGCCTGTGGCCCCAGAAAAGATGGCTCAAAGTCAGATCGGCTCAGAAACGTCCAAAGGGTGGCTGTCACCGCTGCATTGATGAAACAGTCATTGCGATCGTTGTGCAAGACCATGTTGCTCATAGCAGCACGGAGGAGCCTCCTGTCCATGGTGGGCGGCTGCATCAGCTCCGGGGCTGTTTGTGCTTGCCTTTGCCTGCACTCTTCCCCTTCCCCAGCATGACCTTCAGTTGTTCTGCTTGAGGGCTTTGACTGAGGGTGTGAGGCTTCAGAGCCGCTCCCAGGAGGTTCCATACTTTGTTCCCCGACAGGGTCTCCAGCAAGACTTGGAGATCGTCGCACCTGAGGGATATTTGGAGTAGCCAGGGCGTCACCGCCTGCTCCCCCGACGCCTTCAGCGAGTGGAACTTCAGGATGTTGCCAGCCTCCTGTGTGGTCTCCACCAGCTGGTCCATGTAGCGTCGCATCCTGTCCATGGGGATTGGCGCTTGATCTGTTTGCGTCAGCTGTCGACTGGTCGGGTCCCAACGCTGGAAAAAGAACTCCCCCTTGGCATTCAGCAGGTGGTGCTCCATGGCCTTCTGAAACAGGGCATCCGTCGGCTGGCACGCATACAGCTTCTGTAAGCGCTGCTGCAACGTCATTGCCAAGTGATGCATCAGGGTGACCCTCAGTGGCTTCCATTCTTGTGTCTTCATTGGAGTCTCCTGTGACATCTCGTGGTGCCAGGCCTTGGCTCGAGCTGTCAGGACATGAATCACCGACTCCGGCTCCATTTGCATGTAAAAGACGAAGGAGTCTTGCTTTCTCAGTAGATTCTGGTCCGCATCCAGTCTGATGAGAAGCTTGGCCATCTGCATCACCACTTGAGGCAGCGCCTGTGCCGGCTCCTCCAGTTGGGGTCGATGTTGGGTCTTGGCCTTCTTGTGACCCCTTTCGTCTTCTTTTTGCTTTTGGTTGTGCTGAACCAGAAGCGGTGCCATGGCGCTGAACGTCGCCATGAGTTCCTGCGTCTCCTTGCCTGGCATGCTCAGAGTGTCCAAGCTGTCCATGAAGCAACAGGTGGCCAATTTGATGGATCACGGGGCACTGCTGAAAGTGAGCCAAGACTAGAGTCTGTCTCGAGTGCTGTTCAGCCAGCGTCGGATCACCAAGCAACGGCAGGTTGAAGATTTGATTGCACTGTGCACATTGATAGTCAGTGTGGGCTACCTTCATGTAAGTGTCGTACAGAAAAGGCAGAATGTCATACAATCTGGTCAGACTTGAGGCATGAACCTGGATCAAATGATCTCGAAGGAGTGCAGGATGGAAGGCACCTCCACACAGGACACAATGTGATCGCAGGAACTCGGTCATCTCCGACTCTTGCAAAAGACGCATCAACTGTCTTGCATGGATGGCTTCAATCACCGGTTGACAGGCCGCATGCAAATGGCATCGTTGCATCAAGGTGGTCAAACTGCCTTTGTCTGAGATCCACGGCAGGAGTAGCTCGGTGGAGGATCGCGTCCACAGCATGGCCATCTGACGGTAGAAGGGACACACATGAGTCAATGTGAACTTGTTGACACTGGGATTGCATACACAGGCATGTATTGGGGCCAGGACTTTGACAAGAAACCTCGTCATGGCTTGTGCCTGATTCCACATGGCCGAGTGTGCCGTCTGCAGATGGAGCATCAAGTCGTTCGACCTCGAGTATGTAACTCCACATTGAGCACAGTGCAACGTCATGCGCATACGCTTCATGGGGTCTTGCAACAAAGGATGAAAATCACCAGTTTGCATCATCAGCTGTATCTCGGGTGAGATGGGCAACAGGGATGGTGATCGATGAGGGTCAAACTCTCGGCATTGTCCCAACGTCACATGTTGCCTGACTGCAGAGACACTGGCAAACGGCGTGGCACAGTGATTGCAGGCCGGGTCCCTGCCCATCAAATCCCGTTCCGGCTGCCAGTCATGAAAGGCAAGCCGATGCGTGTTGGCAAGGTGACTGTGAATTTCATCTAAGGTGGCAGCTTGAAGTCCACATATTTCGCATCGCAAGGCCGCCGATGGTGGGTCCTCCTGCTGGTCTGTCTCAGATGGCAGGTGTATCAGCAGCATGCCCAGCTGAGTGAGAATTGGACAGGAGTGCGCCTGTTTGAAACTCTTGTTGCAATACCGGCATGGTGAGTTGCTTGCAAAGCCCTTGCACAACTGGGAGCCTTTGGTGAAAGTATGTGGAATCCACTTTGGGTGATGCACACGCATATGACTGTGCAGTTCCTGCGGCCGTGTGAAGTGAAAATCACATACACAACATTGATTGGCAAGGTCCTGGCATGCACTGCGTTGGTCAACCAGGGCGGCCCAGTCCCGTCGACGGACAATGTCAAGCAAGGCCTCACCATATGGCTTGTTGAGGAGGTTGGCAACTAAACTCTGGTGCATGCGCAAAATGCGCTGTTCCTCTTCTTCACGAAGTAGAGCATCCAGGTCCAGGCCCGTGTCACATGGGCGTACCTGACAGCATTGGCGGTCCAAGTGATTCTGAAATTGGCGCCAAGTCGTGAATGTTTTGAAACAAAAGGTGCATTGTGGCAGTCCATTCACCGCACACGACATGGTATGCCCTAAGCTGGATCTAAATTGAGTTCGTTGGTGGACAACGGTCTGATGACGTCTCAAATTAGCCAATGTATCAGCAACATAGTGACATTCTGTGCATGAATACATCAGGGCTTGTGGCACCTCAAGGCCGTTGTCGGCAGTGGGTGAAACTGGCACTTGCACCTCGAGGGCGACTTGCAGCATTTGAATATTCTGAGTCAGTGTGGTCCAGTTGACATGAACGAGAATGTCATTGGCTTGCAAGTGCTGGGATCTCTGGCCGAGTCTGCATTGAAGCTGGTGCGCATGGCGCAGGAGAAGCATCAGCGGGTGTTCAAGACCATAACGGTACAAAATTGTCTGATGTGAGTCATGGGTTCTGAAACTGTAGTTTTGGGTGAGTTGTCTGTACATGCCAAAAATGATGAGCTGGAAGTTTTTGATTATGGGCAATGTCAGATTGACTGCAAATAAACCATAAGTGAGGGTCGACACAACACATGCCCGCCATAGCTGAAGCCGATGTCTCAATCCAATGGCATTGGTGCGCAGCCAACGTCGAAGCCTATGATATGTGATCCGTGCACATTGAACCCTTTTCTCAAAGGTCAGCTGCTCAGGATTGGAATAACTCAGACATGTACCCAAATAATCAGCTTTCTTTTTGACCGGAATGCGACTGTGGGTTCCATTGGCTCGGGGTGAAAAAAATGGCCACCAGCTTGTTTAACAAGACTGCTGCGTATCTTGCGGCTGTGGGTGCCTGCAATTTCGATGAGGATAAAAGACTTTTCCAATGAAAGAGTCAGTCCCAAATTTTCGAGGGTGTCCAAAATCAGGCCAATACGGGAAATTTCTGTCAGGAGTTGATGTTTGGATGTGAAAACAGCGCCCTGATGAATATCGTCCGCGAAGGCAGTAAGGGTTTCTTTCACCCAGTCGATGGAGACTGCGGCAGCAAGTTGACGGAAAAATTGATCTAAAAAACAGTTCCATAATAGAGGGGCGGCTCGACAGCCTTGACGCACTCCTTTGGAGGTTTCTACTACAACAGTTTCTCCAGCCTGTTCCACGCAATAACTTGTATCTGTGTGCCATTGGGCTAGGAGTGTTGTGAGAGCAGTTGCATCATGGAGGGCATCGAGGTGTTCAAACAATTGTTGTCTCGGCAATTGATCGAAGGCCCTCTGGATATCTAAAAAGATCTGTATTCCTCCACAACAGCTGAAAAATTCAGTTGCACTTGCACGTTGATGTGCCGATCGGCGTTGGGTTTTGACTAGGCAGCGGACAGTATTGCAATGGTCCATCACTCTTCGAATGGCATCACCAGTGGATCGATGGGGGAGAAATGCAAATTGCGGCCACTCCATCAGGGTGCTACCCGTAGCCTCAAGCAGTTTCCGAGTGAGTGCACCTAGAATGCACTTGCCCAGGGGCTCCTGCAGTGCTATGCACCTGAGATTCTCTACCTTACATGGACTCTTATTGGGTTTGGGGATTAGAGTTACCCAGGCTCTTTTCCACAAAACTGGGATGTAAGGATTTGAGTGACTCCACCATTGGGTTAGAAACTGATGGATCCAGGGTGCAATAGTAGAGGCATGTTGTTTTACTACCAGAGCTGGCAGGAACGGGGATGCTACTGACTTATTGTGGGGCAATCTTTGCAGCTCGAATTCAATGTCTGCAATCGAGATGGGTACCCCAGGGGGGTCCCTGGGACCGAGATTGATGGTTTCTGCACCCGCCCAAATACGCGCAACAAAATCTCTGGTCATTTGCAGTGCCTCCGCAGGGGAGGCAGGAGAGCCATCTTCATTTCGAAGCTGTATTTTCTTTTTGGGCTGCTTAGGCGTAAACCTGTTGATGATCTGATGAACTTCAAAACTGTCATGCCTGTCTGCTGCATTCTGTACCGCGGTGAGAAGGTCAAAAAAAATTTGGCGTTTAAAGACCTTGGTGAGTCGTCGATGCTCTCTGGTCAGTTGCGCACATTTACTGCGGCATTTCCACACATGAAAAATGGCATGGAGGGTTAACGATTGATTTTGTTTGACCTGGCGATGATAGTACCATTTTTGTTGGATAATATCCTCATGATTAGGTTTGGGGGCATGGGGAACTTTCACATTCTTAGGATAGAAGTGATGAAATTTCTGCCCCAACTGATCATGGAAATGTTGTACCGGATCCCCATTGGAGTCAGAATTGGCACAGATTTCTTGTAGGGCACTGCCAGTCTGCTCCATCATGGACGCCCAGGTGTCACTTCCTCCTTGCCAGTCCAGTCTGCAGCGCATCCTTTGTTGATACGTGAACCCTGTGGACTGTCTGGATTTGTATGAAAAATGAAACCTGCGGATGCAACACATCAGGGGGATATGAGTGGCACCTTTGAGGGGAATAATATCCGCATGGGTGAGGTACTTAACATCGCGTGAGAATCCATCAGCATCAGCCGTCCTAGTGATGAAAAAATCAATACGTGAGACCATCAAGCCATTATGAAATGTGGGACCATGTTGAGCATTCCATCCATTGAGGATGGTGAGATGATATTTTCGGAGGACTGAGTGGAACGATTTCATATCCCTATGTTGAGGGCCCTTACAGGGGTGGCCATGCCATGTGAATGTACTGGTCCCGACATGTGGTCCATCCTGTTCTGCAGAGCAGTTCAGATCCCCTGCAATCAGTAAGGAGTTTCGATTTGGAATCGTACCTAGGCAAGTATCTAGCATCTGCCAGAAGGATGCTCGCTGATGTAGTCTGGCTGTTGTCCTATCATCCATATAGTTATAACAGCATATCAGATCACAAGCTCTCTGACGGAAGTGCAATCGAATGTGCAAGAGGCGTCCAGCAAGCAGGGTTGCACTGCCTATTTGGGATGCCCGGGCAACTCCCTGTCTGATTAGAACAAGTACGCCATCGGCGCGATCTGCAACTGATCCAGAATGGATGGCATGCCAGGCCTCGTCAGTCCACTCAGACGAAAAATTCCACCTTGTTTCCAACAAGACTATGATGTCAGCACTAATAGAGGTTCCCCATGTTTTAATTTCTTCTAATTTATGAGTGGAGAGTCCACCAACATTAAACTGGACAACATTGAGTCTATGGGTAGTGGAAACTTTAGATTGGGGAGGGATCGGTACACCAGCAGGTCTGCTGGGGCGTGGATGCTTCGGCAATGGCATATGGGCCGGGAAGTCACTTGGGGTCATGCACATGCCTCGATACCAGGCAGCCCCATCTCTTTGGGCTCTTGCAAATGCTCTTTTGAAGCTTCTTTTTTGGATTGTAGTCATGTTACACATATTGGATGGATATTTCGGCGGGCCGTAGCCCATGGGTGGCGGTTGGCCGTGTATTTTCGCCGTCATCAGGGTAGCCAATTGTTCTGGTGTGAACTCGGCTCCCGTGGGTTCCCACGGCAGGAACCCACAACCCTCACCCCCATGCAGCTCATTTTCAGCCATTAGAATTTGTTCCTAGATGGTCACGTATGGACTATGCTTACAAAAAACAAAAAGCCTATGGGAAATGCTGCACGCCCGGACTTGGGACCGGGTAAGTGGATAGTTTGTTTATAGGTACAGGATTAAGGGGCTAGTCCTTGGTCTATGGGTACTTCTGGAATTAGTCAGGTTGGCTATGGGTATTAGCAGGGTACTTCAGATGCTCAATAGGCCACTGAAAGGTATCAGTACTTGGCAAGAGTCAGAAGGTATGGATGTTGGTTGTCTGAGTTGACTACCGCACACTGTATACGCCTCCAATCGCTGCTAGGTACTGGTTGTACCAGGAATGGCTGGAATGCTCTATAGGTTTTGGACGGTTTTTGTGCCGATCCAAGAGAAATCTGGTATCACACAGGTGTTGGCGCAATGCTCAATGGGATCTTGAGGTAGCTGTTTACGATCTGTCCGATTCCAAGGTGAGGGATGTCAATGTATGTCTGACGTCTGTCCACAAGGAGTCTGTGAGGTTGGTTGCTGGATGTGTTTGCAAACAGTCAATCTGTGGAGTCTCAAGATTCCGCTGTGCTCTTGTACAATGCCTGAATGGAGGCTCCTGAAACCAGATGTTCACCAGGTCCGAACCGCACTCTGATTCACCCAGGCCAGCCAGAAAAAATGGGGGCCTACCCCACAGATCGGGTGATCAGAGATGTCCAGTTGCAATGTAGAAGTGAGCAATCCTTGCTGCTATCTGAAGGGACCTTGTAAATCCTGTCTTGTACTAAAGTCGAACCTGATCCAAAAAAAGACTTCTGCAAAACGGACCCTGCTCTGTATGCCGCAGTGGTTGCACGTAGAAATAAAGCACTGCAAGCACCAATCGTCCAGTCCTTTGTCAATCAAACAGGTGTCTTCTCGCACTTGGCGTCTCGAGATGTTCTCTGAGGATCCAAGAAATAAAAGTGGCACCGCAAGATAGCGTCCAAATGGCTGGGCAAGAACGGCCGAACAGAGAACGTCCCAGGGCAACTAGAAACGCGTCCCACTGTTCCTGTAGCTCCTCGCTACTTGACCACTCAGGGGCTTGTGTGTGTTTTTTTTTTTTTCCCACGCTCCTTTTTCAGAGGTCTGAAATGGCGCTGGCCCTTCAACAACAGACAGTGCTGTGTTGGTTCTCTGCAGTGAGAAGCTAAGTCCCTACGCCGCAGCAGCACTGATGTCACAATGGGGAAAAATGACATCAGTAGTGCAGGATGGATCGAAGGCTACGGCAATGGCTGAGGTGCCAAACGTGCAATGTCACTGGGCGGCGGCCACGTTGGACATATATGTGAAACGGTTTTTTTTTGAAGCAACAGAACTGTGTCGGGCTATCGGCATCTTTTAGTGGCCAGCCTCTGTTTTTTTTTTTTGGACATCTTCTCGGGTCCTTCAGCAGGGGTACACTCCGGGATACGGAGGGCATGAAAAGGGTGACGAGGGGGTCAGGGGCATGGGTGGCGGATGCCAGTGCAAGAAGGATTGCAGGATCGAAGTCGCTTACTCAGCCTGGCAAAATGCCAATGTGAAACCTGCGGTGGCCAAAATGGCATTTATTTTCGTGGCGCCGACTAGGCATGTTCAGCAAAATGCCGTGGTGATACAACTGGTGTCCAATGGCTTGCCGATGGTTGACGCCAGTGAATTCAATTCACAGGCATTGTTGGGCAGCTGTTCCAATCTAGCCGCAATGCAAAAAGAGCCATAGGTCATGGCAAAACGACCAAGTGTTGCCAAAATGGCTTGCGTCGGATGCTGTTTGTGTGTCGCCTGCTAGGCCGGCCAAAATGGCCTGTAATTGATGCCTAAATGGCTGGATCTCGGCAGCTGCATGGAAGCCATCTGTGGTGAAGCATCGTGATGGACGCATTGCCCCATTCTTTTTTTTTGCCGCTGGACACTACCCACCTGAGGAGTTGGTCGCTTTGGGCAAACATGGTGAGCCAATTTTTTTTTTTGAAGCAACAGAATTAGTGTGGGCAATCGGCATCTTTTGGTGGCCAGCCTCTTTTTTTTTGCATCTTCTGGGGCCGTGCTGGGGGTCCACGTTGGGGTTACCAACGCCCGGGGAAAAGCCGACCTGGGGGTCGGGTGCATTCATGGTTCCGGATCAGGCTGTGTGGCTAACAGTGTAAGGATGGCGGTGTCATCCGGCATACTGACTGGCGGCAGTCGATGAAGTTCTACCTTGTCTGTGCGGCAGAGCCATAAGCATGTGAGACCTCTGGTGAAATGGTCAGGCAACAGGAGGCACTTTTGTGGGGCCCTGCCATCATCACATGACATCCAAATTGCCGGGGCAGCCAAGTCGGACACCTCGGGAAAGGTGCGCAACATGCATTGGTAATGACCGCGTTGGGAATCTCCTTGGTGTGCAATGCAGGCGACTACCGTGTAGGAAGTCCAGTCAATGTGGTGGGTGGCCCCAACCGGTATCTGTACCTCCCAACCAAACGTGACAGCTGCATGGCTCTTGGTGAGATTACCATTGGGTGTCATCACAAGGCGATCGATGTGGAGCAATATCAGGTCCTCCGGGTCCGTGATACCCGCCTGCATTCCCAGCTCTGTGTTCCATGACCTGAGAAGGGTGACCAGGGAGACTTCGTCATGTTGGATCATTTGAGGATCGATTTGCAATGTCAAGGGCATGTATTGATCACCTGAGTCATGGCGCACAAAATTTTGATCCATCTGCACACGCCTGTCCCAGCTGTTGGAGATGGCCGGCATGGCCGTCCAGCTGGAAAGCAAATGTGAGAATTCGGCGCTGTCGGCCTGTTCCCCTTCCTCGATCCACCCATCAATCAGCCGATCAAACCAATGTTCATGAGCCAGGGAAAAAGGCGTGCCATTGCCATGTTGCAACAATTGTTGAAGGATGGTGGATCGGGGTCCCCAATCTTGAAAACTGAACTCCTGCCTGGACAAAGTGGCCCAAATCAGTGCAAGAAAAGAGCTGTTTGCATAGCAGGCATTTCCTGGATTTTCAAGGACAAGTTGAAGAGCCTTGGCACGTAGGGCTTGTCGTGCAGGTGCGTCTAATTGGACGACACACCACCGCGTCCCTTCCCCTTGCCTTTGGTCCTGTTCTCGCCCTGGCCGATGGCTTTCTGAAGCATCATCGCCTGTTTGGAGAGGGCCTGATTGTGGCGTTTGATCGACATTCCAAGCAACGACCACGCTGTGTTGTGACACAGCTCCCCCAGCAGGTCCCAGGCTTCGGTTTCCCTGTGCGTCAGTTGGAGGAGCCAGGGAATCGTGGTTTGATCCGTCCGCAAACTCCTGAACTGAACGACATGTTGATTGCTGTCCAGGAGGTCCTCCAGCGTCTCCAGAGTTCTGAGCATGGTCGCCATCGGCATGGGCTTCTTCGGGGCTTTGACCAATTGCTTGGTTTCCACCGACCACTTCTGGTAGCCCCATGCTCCATCTGGAAGGATCGTGCCCTTGCTCAGTGCCACGTCCCAGAGTTGTTCCCCTGGTTTGCTGCTGGCCAGTTGTTGCACCCGGCGTCGGAGCTCCTTGATGACTCCCTGCAGCAAGTAGGTGCGCAGGTTGGGCCAACTCAGGTTGTCCCGCTGCTTCGGCCATTCCTCCCGCCATTTGCTGGCCAGGCATGTGAGGTGTGGCACAATGCCCTCCGGGCGGTTTTGGCAGAACATAACGAAGCAGTCCTGGCGCTGGCTGAGCTGCAGACTTCTTTCGTGGCTGAGGATCAGTTGCGCCATCAGCCGCAGCATCGAGGTGACGGCTTCCTGGGAGGGGCCGTCTGAGTCGTTTTTGGCTCTGGCCTTGTGGCGCTTGGTGTGCTGCTCGTCGGCGAGAACCTCTTGTTGCCGCCGATTGCCCAGCAGCAAAGGGCCCAAGGCGCTCAATCCCTCCATCAGGGCCTGGTCGTTGGGATCCATCAGCGCGTCCATGGATGGGGTGCAGGAGGATGGCAATCTGCAAAACCACAGGGCAATTTGAGACAAAATGACTCCTTTGGATGTGCAGGCGGTCAGGCAATGAGTCAGTCTGCGTGCCCGGCAAATTGAAAACTTGTGTGCAGCAGTCACATCTGAAATCCTGATTTTGACTGTGTTGCATGGGGTCATACAGCTGGAATGCAATCTGAGTTGCCCACGCACAGGCTTGAGGGTGCACCGTGAGCAAATGTCGCAACAGTTCTGTCGGTTGGTAGTGTCCACCGCACTGCATGCATTGGGTGCGAAGACCTGCCATCACCTCAGAATCAGTCCAGAGACGGGCAAAGTCACGTGAAACCAGGATCTGTGTCAGCCGATGCGTCAGGTTGGCATTGCGCAGGCATGACAAGGTTTCGTCCAGCTGAACTGCTTGAAACTGCTGTGGCACCAAGAGCTGAACATCGCAGGAGCTCATCAACATGGCCACCTGTCTGAGCGGCGTGCAGATGTGAGCCAGGCCAACTTCGTTGGTTTGAGGGTTGCAAATGCAGCCACGAGTTGCCATCACTGCTTGTAACAGAAACCGAAGCATGGTCTGGGACTGTTGCCATTGCTCCCCATGAGATTGGAGTAGATGAGCAACTAGATCTCCTCCCCTTTGGTACTTGGTCCCACAAAACTGACATGTGATGGTCAGCTGGAGGCGTTGGTGTGCTGTGAGACAACCAGATGAGAAGTCGCCTCCCTTCAGCCAGGCCGTCCAGGTCTGTGAATTGTTCAGGGGATTCTGAGATGCTGTCGGGTCAAAAGCCTCGCATCTGCCCTCAGTGATGTGACGCCGTAAACCTGAACGGCTGTCAAACTGGGCATGGCAGTGTCGACATTGGTCTTGTCCCTGAAGTGAGTCCCTCGAGGGGAGCCAGTCGTTCAATGTCATGCCATGATCTTGCGAAAGATGTGTATACAGTTGACTGCTGTCATCAAACTGTTGTATGCAAATTTCACATGTCATGGTCGTCTGGCGTCGATGGTCCGGTTCCATCAGCTGTAGTCTCAAAATCCCTACCTGCAAGGTCACCGGGCAGCTATGGATGCGGCTGAAGGGTCGTTTGCACCATGCACAAGGTGAAACCAATTGCAGGATGTGAGACAGCTGAGCGCCTTTGGCGACTCCTCCTCGCAGTTGATCCGGGTGATACAGCCGATAATGGCCATGCATTTCTTGGAAACGGTTACACCATGTTCCGCAGATGGCACAATGGTGAGCTAAGTGTGCCAATGCCGGGTCCAGTTGTCCTAAGCCTGTCCAATCGTCAGTCAACAGATGGCTATGAAGGTCAGGCCAGAACGCCTGGGTGGCGATATGGAACTGCTGTTGAACCACTTCTGTAGCCGCTGGTGGCTGCAGTCTGACTCCAGGATCAGCCATGTCGGAAGTCACCTGACAACAATTGCGTTGAACATGGACAAAAAAATTCTTCCAGGTAGCAAACGTGTGCATACAATTCCGACACTTGGGCAATCCATTGACCATCATGTCCAAAGGTGATGTGGGTGCAGTGCGGTATTGTGTGACATGGTGATTGTAGGTGAGGTGTCGTCTCATGTTTGCCACTGAGTCTGTTTGGAAGGAACAATGCGGGCATTGGTGCCTGGTTTGGAGTGCAACCCGATCAGCAGGGTCCACGCTTATGGCAGACTCAACGGTCGTGTCCTGAACGCAGTGAACAAGCTGCAACAAGTCATCAAGATGTGTCCACTGTTGTTGATGAAGAAAGTCCATCGGATGTAACAAGTGGGCACGCCTGCACAGTCTGCGTTGTAATCCCATGGCAAGGGTTGTCAGCAGGTCGAGAGGCAAAGCTATGCGATGGTGTCGAAATGCTGACTGATGTGTGCGGTGTGTGACATAGGCGTGGTCACCGAGCACGCTTCGTACCATTTGGTAGATCGTTGCTTGATATTCCATCAGGACTTGTGGAGTGACCATGGTTGCCATGATGCCGTAAGTCAAAACCGTGTGCACACATGTATGCCAGAGATACAACCGTTGAGATGTTGGAATCTGTGAACTCCTGAGCCATGATCTCAGTCGTGAAAAAGCACTCCAACCAGCTTTTCTGCGATGTGCCCATGTCTGCTGTTCAAAATTGTCATAACTGATGATTACCCCCAGGTAGGTCCCTTTCTTCTTCACCGGCAGGTCAGTGGTGCTACCATCCCGTCTAGGGACACGGATGCTGACTCCAGTGGAGTGACGGTGCATCACCCCTTTCAGGGCTTGGCGCGGATTTGTACCTGTGTATGCCAGTAACATGTAGGACTTGGAGTACGAGAGGGATAGTTTCAACCTTTCGATAACATCAAGAGCATGACCAATGTTCTGCAGGTGGGTCCGAAGCTCAGTGGCTGAACAAAACTGGCAACCCAGGTGCACATCGTCCGCGTAGATTGTAAGGCAATCTTGTATCCATTGTTGGCCAACAAGTAGAGCCAATTCTTGCATGAAAAGGTTCATAAATGCGACCCGTAATAGAGGAGCGATTTTGCATCCTTGTCTCAGACCCTTCCCGACCTGTATTGAAGTGGTGTCCCCACGAAAGATCAAATTGTAATGCGTGTTCTCATGCCAGCTAGCAACAATCTGTACCAGATGGGCAGGAGTACCCAATGCAATGAGATGATCAAAAATGGCCTGTCTATCTGCATTATCAAACGCCCTGGTCAAATCCAAAAATAGTGAAATTCCTCCACATATTAGATGCCCCCGTGGTTGAGCCACCTGTGTGGAAACGGAACGTCGCTGGGATCTGACAAGGTTTCGGATGCATCGGCTGTGAGTGGCAACACGCAATATGGCGTCGGTTGCAGCTCGGAATGGCATGAAGCCAAATTGTGGGGTTTGACAGAAAAGTGGGAAAACATGCTCACGGATCTTGGATGCAAGCAGCCCCATGACAAGTTTACCCATAGGCTCCATGAGGGAAATGGGTCTTAATTGGTCCGGGTGGTTATTTTGTTTGCCCGGTTTCGGTAGGAAAAATAACCATGAGTCTTTCCAATTCTGTGGGATTGTCGGGGGAGCACATGACCACCAAACACGAAGATGCTGGTAAAGATACCTAGCAACAGCATTGGGGGCACATTTCCAGACAATGCCGGGTAGGAATGGCTGGGCTACTGCTTTGTTGTTGTGCAGAGCTGCAACCGCTGTCTCTAATTCCTCCATTGCAAACGGAACGCCCGGAGCATCATCAGCATAAATCGGCATCTTGCTGGGTCCCTGCCACATGCGTTGAACGAAGGATGTGGTCATGGCATGTGCCATGTATTGGTCAGCGATTGCCCCATCCGGACCCCTCAGACGTGTTCTGGCCAGGGGCTTTTTGGGAGTAAATTTATTGATAATGAGGAACATTGAATGAGTATCATGAATTGTGGCGGCTGCTGCAGCTTCAGTGCAAAGCTGGTTGAATTGATTCTTCTTGGCCCGCCTTGCCATCCGTTGCTGATCTCTTTGGAGAGACTGATACCGACTGCGGTGGTGCCATGCCTGAAAAACGGAATGCAACCCTGACGCATAGTTTTTGGCCAACTGTCGCAATCTCTTTTTGTGGAACCATTTGTCCTCAATGTGATGGTGGAATGCTGTATAGTCCACTGCACAAAGTTTGGTGTTCTTAGGGGGAAACAGTTTATGAAACTCGGTAGAAACACTGTCATGAATTCTTTGAATGGCAACCTCAGGTGACACAGTTGCATGTTCTGCCTGTAGCACATCGGTCACATGCTGACGTAATTGATGCCAAGTCTGGGTGTCCTGTTGTCCCGCAAGGCGGCATTGATTTCGCTGGGCAAAAGTGCATGCTGTGGGCCGGTCATGTTTGTGATACGCCATGTGCTTGGTTCGAATGTTACACATCATGGGGACATGGTGAGTACTATTGTGGGGAACAAAATCTGCCTGTGGAAGATAAATGACCTGTTTGGATTGACCGTCGCAAGCAATCATCCTAATGAAAAAGTGATCGATTCTGGATGCATTGTTGCCGTGGATATAGGAAGGTCCTGAAGAGTCCCACGTGTTGATCGCTGTCAAGCCATGCGCCTGAAGGATCTCCTGGAGGCACTCCTTATCAGTGTACACAGGTCCAGTGACCGTTTGACCCTTCCATTGGAAGGATGTGGTGCCTACCCAAGGGGGCATTGCAGTCAACCCACAATTGTAGTCTCCCATGCAAATGAGGTTGTTGCGAGATGGTATCCGATGCAGGAGTTGGTTCAGAGCGGCCCATACTGTAGCCCTCTGTTTGGTCGAAGCCGGGTCCGTGCCGCTACAAACTGGTAGGTGGCTATGATGTCCAACGCTCGATTGTCAAAATGAATACGGATGTGTAAGAGCCTTCCATCAATGACAGCTGCAAAACCAAGTTGTTCAGGTTCAGCCAGGCGTCTAGAGATCATTGTCAATATGCCACCGCTCCTGTGATCAGATGTGGCTGAATGCACATACAGCCAGTCCTTGTCTTCCCATGTGGAAGAAAAACTCCACTTCGTCTCCGTGAAGACCACCACATCTGCAGGATGTCTCCGCAGCCAGTGTCGAACCTCTTGAAGGGTGGACTGAGAGAGTCCACCAGGATTCCAATGGAGGCAAATCAGGCGGTCTTTGGGATTCCACTGCCTGTCCATGGGGTGGATCTTGTTGCCAGACGACTGCTGCGCTTGTTGTATCTTCTGTACCAGTTTGATGGGGAAGTCCCGGACTTGCATCAGATGTCCATGGTAGTGTGCAGCACCGTTTCGAATGGCCCTGGTGCATGCCCTTTTGAAACTTCGTTTGTGCACCGCTGTTTGCGGTCGTATGGGAGCATTGGAGCGATAGCCCATTGGTGGCCGTTGTCCACTGTTCGCAGTAGCAGCACAGTATTCATCAATCCATCTGTCTGCTCCAACCACGGCTGTGGGACCGTGGTAACCCTCACCCTTACGGCTGTAATCTTGCTGGTGCCAATAGTCAGTGATCAGGTTCTGCTTGGTGGGCAAGAAGCTCATGGAAGATTCAGCCGTACCCGGATTTGGGACCGGGTTGCAAGTCACGTTCACCTGCAGCTGTATGATGTATCCAAGAAAAATTCTGAAAAAGTTCATAGATGTAGCTGTCTGAAACTCACAAGGGCAACCTTTGTCCAGCAGGTGAGATCAGCAGCACTCCAATCCAAGGATGCACCACTGTATTTGTTGTAATGGGTCAATCAGATCGGGTGCCCAACCCGTGTACCAACCAACTGTAAAACCACTGTTGTAAGGGCCAGTGAAGGTAACGGGAGCCCACCCCGGCCTGAAAAAGACACTCCTCAGGACCAGAAGCAAGCGCCGGATGTCCAATCCGATTGCAAACCAAGAAAGGGAACTACGCGGGGGGCAATGGCTGCAGCAGTCCCCTAGTGGCAACCCACCACTTGCGTGCGGTGCTCGCGACCGCAAAGGGCTTCGCACAGCACGGCTCAGCTTGGCGCGGTCTGACTCCCCCGTGGGGTCCGTAGCTACGCGCTGCTTGAGCTTGGACAACAGACCTGTGTGTGGGTGTGGGTGTGGGTGTGGGTGTGGGTGGGGTGTGGTGTGTGGTTGGGTGGGTGGGTGGTGGGGGGTGTGGGTGGGTGGGTGTGTGTGGGTGGGTGGGGTGGGGTGGGGTGGGGTGGGGGTGGGTGGGGTGGGTGTGGGGTGTGGTGGGTGGTGTGGTGGTGGCGTGTGGTGGTGTGGTGGGGTGGTGGTGGTGTGGTGTGGTGTGGTGGTGGTGGGTGTGGTGGGTGGTGTGGTGGGTGGTGTGTGGGTTGGGGGGGTGGGGTGGGGGTGGGTGGGTCGGGGGGGGTGGGGGTGGGTGGGTGGGTGGGTGGGTGGGTGGGTGGGTGCGTGGGTGCGTGGGGTGGTGCGTGGTGCGTGGTGCGTGCGTGCGTGGTGTTGTGTGTGTGTGTACACTGCTAGTAACATGCAGTCTAAATATTGATTGCAGGGGAGTGCGGCATGATTGTGGGACCGCACTCAACGAAGCTACCACAATCATGGGATACTGGGTCTGATCAACCCAGCGTACCTGCATCAGAGGATAGCAACCGGCTAAGCTGAGAACCGGAACTAGGTAACTTTGATATAGCATCCGGCTAAGCTGAGAACCGGAATTCATAGTCAAATTCATTTACAAAATCAATTTAATTTCAACTTCGACATTTGTGCCTTTTGTCCTTTGATTCATTTCAGGCCATTCATTCAGGAATTGGTGGTGCTCTTTTACTTCTCCTCACTACGCTCGAATCTATATATCCCACAGTGTGTTTTGGGTACTTTACCTCACTTGGTAGTACCGTCTGTCCGTTTCGACGGATATGAAAGTTATGACCGGGCATTTTCCCGGCTGCAGAGTGGGATGTCGCCAACATCCTGAAGTCCCCTTTGCATATTGCATGCAAACAAAGAAGTAAATGTCAGAGCCGACATTGAAGTTCGTCCAACACAATTTGGAAGCCATAAGGCGAAGTGTGCCCAATGGGCGAAGTACCCACAAGGGAGAAGTAGTCATATGACGAAGTATTCTGAATGCGCTCTACTTCCAGTACATGTGGTCCCATCCTCAGTGATTGGGTTTTTATGAGATGATCTAATTTTACTTATCACTTTAGAGCCGTAGTTTCGAGCCATGGATGTACGAACTTTTGCGAAATCATCGGGACCTCCCCCGAATGTGCCGATTCCTCCGGGAGTGATTCCCAACAGTGTTTCGCAGCAGTTGGCCAATTCACGTATTACTGAATCTTCTATGTCTTCAATGTTACGTATTCAACAAGAACATGCTCGTTCATTGGAACGAATGGCAACGATGCAAAGTCAGATCATTGAGCTGCAACAAATTCAGACTCAACAAGTACATTTTATGCAACAAATGATGTTACCATTGGCTTTTCAATACAATACATTCATGTCCTCGATGTCTTCTTTAGTACCTGGTGTGGGCAATTTGCTTACCCAGCCGTTCACTTTTGTCCAATCAACATTGGGATCGTCGGGGACCTTGTGTGATCCTCTTCATGGCCTACCTGGAAGTAGTCCGGGACCTATGGGGCAATTTGCTGTTCTACCAACTGGCCCGGGACCTTCAATGCGTGCTTCAAGTGGTCCGGCACCCAAACGTCGTCGTCTTGATCCCCAATCAGATCCTCTTCATGAACCACAGAGTGTTGCAAACTCAGTTCAGATTCCGCGCTATGGTCTTTACCATCATGTCAAGCAATCTGAAACAAGCAATACTCCTGAACGAATTTGGTCTTCAGTTAGTGAACGAGTGGTCCCACCAGCCCGCAATGAGACTGTTTGTTTTACCATTGGATGGAATCAGCCAGATGATCCTTTTCAGACCATACATGAAGTCAAAGAAATGATCCACCCTCAGTTGAAGACACAAGGATTCCAATTTTGGGTCGCTCTTCCGGTGGCGAACTTTTCATCTGAATTGTTAGTGGGTACAAATGACTTGTTCAAGACGATCGACATTCTTTTTCTGTATCAACAGATGCTCCGTATCCACAAATCAATTGCTGATAATCCATTTCGCGTGAAAAACGCCTTTGAAGATGGAATGCTGATCGAAGATACAAGACGTCAACAATGGATACCTAATGCTGAATATTTCAATTCATCTCGTGGCTACATTATTCATGAAGATGCAGTGGATCATACTCAATTTTGGTATGATTACATTTCGACTGACTTGAAGACTCGATTTTCTGCACAACTGCGTAACCCTGTGTTGCGTGATTCAGTTTTGACATCTCTCCGTTTTCTGATTACTGCTTTGGGACGTCACAGCAACAATGTGTCATTGGTTGAGAAATTTGAAATTATTTTCAATTCCAAGCAAGAGCCTATTGCGGTCTATGCGCACTTGGCACTCCCGCAATGGCGTGCAGACAATTTTGATATTTTTCAGTACTTTGGATTTGGTCACAATACATCAGTATTGGGAATGGCTTCAGCTGTGCGAGAAGGGGTAGTTCGACCATCATCATGCGATGTGCGGAGCCCAGACTGGCTGACTCCCAATACTTTCTATTCTCGGGGAGTTTTGTTCAATGATGATTCCTCCTTTTCTAGGAAACATGTGCTGAGAATTTTGGAACAGACCAAGAAATTTGGTGGCCTTAACACTGCTCGACCTATTTGCATTGTTGGTCGTGCTTTTGCACGTCAAGCACATATTCGGAACCCACAAGGTGGAGTTTATGCAGACCAATTGTTAGCCTATTTCTATGATGTCGTGCATGGATCAGACTCTCGGTGGGCCTTTCGATCCCACCTTTCGACTATCCATGGAGTAGCTACTTTCATTTCGTAGATTTTCGCCAGATATAATACTTCATGCTATGATAAAAAGATGTCCGCTTTGAGTTGGCTCTTTTGTGCATGGTTGCCTTTGAAATCTAGAAGATTCTTCGGGTTTTTCAACTATTATGTAAGTTTTGCTTTGCTTCTTTTGTACTCCTATTTTACCCAACTCTCTTGTGTTCATTTTAGATGTGACTTTGTAACATTCGTAGAATCTATTCTGGTTCAACAGCATTGCAATTTGCAATTTGAACATGCCTTGGGACTCTCGCTCTCGTTCGGGCCATAGATATCGTCGGGACCACAGTCGTCGACGTGGTGGACGTTCTGACAGATATCAACGATCTTCATCTCCCCGAGCTCATCGACGACGATCGGCACCACGTACCGCAGCCCCAGTGAGTTCACAATCAGTTGATCTTCCATCTCAGTGGCAAAGCACTTCGTCCCATTATGATACATCTGTCCTTTATGGTCTTAGTCTTCCTCATCATATTGAGTCTACTCAATGGAGTCGCAAGGTTGGCTTGATGGGACAAGACCTATCGTCAGTTCGAGTCATTGATGTCATTCCTAATGGTATTGCCAATTATGGTATGCGATTGTTGGCCAACGGTAGATACGTTACCTTTGAACTTTTTCGCACTCGTTTGGATGCTTTGATGGCTTCAACTCTGGTAAAAGAGATTTACCATAGAAAGGATACATTTGATTTGAACAAATTGATTTCCCAATTTGTTCCTGAAGACGCAGATGTGAATGCATGGGATCAGAAGTGTGCGGCTGTTCAAAAATTATCCACACATATTCTTGACCATCTGCAGACTCTTATGCCTGTTGATCAACAAACCGATCTTCTTA